ACAAGCAACGATTTTAAGTTGAGGGTGTTGATGTACCATGAGTTTACGGTATTTTTGATACATTATACTTTAAGTTTGCATGCGTCTTAGGCATTTTTGTTATTAGATATGATGGTGCTTTGGTCTAGTTTTGAAGAAAATCGGTTTGAAGTAGTTAGAATTGAATGTAGCTGAACCAGCAGGATTTTGGCAACAGACGAGCCCATCCATGAACTGTCTTCTACTTGACGTGTCGTAGGTGGAATGTTCAAGGAAGTCTGACCAAGGGTGGAACCATGGAGCTAATGACGCCCCGTCATCTGAGTGACGGACCGTGGATGATGGTCGTCATTTGATATAGAGAAAAGGAGCTCCAGTACTTGAAAATGGAGGGACAAGACAGACTGTGTATAGACCTACGGGTCATAGGTGATGACCGTCGTTTCAATACCACAAGATATTGGCCAACTGTTGAACCACGGAGCAACCCACAGATCGTCGAATGATTAACGGACCGTCGGTGGCTACCGTTGATCGAAACTGCTCAAAACTGGAATTTCCTAGTTTTTCTTTTCCTACTTGGGTTAGGACTTAGTCTTTATAAATATAAGTTGTATTTTTCGTTTTTTGGGTTGTTAGACCTTTTTGGAGACTTTACTTTGGGTTGAGGATTATTGTGCAAACACTTTGGCATCTTAATTCTTGAAGTTTGTTTATGCAATTTGTTTTTTATTTTCAATTGAAGATTTCACATTTCATCTATTCCCATTGTAAGTTCATGATTTCTATTTCAAACTTAAATATGAATTGTGAGAACTCAAGCATGAATAACTAAATCCAAAAATAGGATTGTTGGACCCCCTGAGTAATTAACAAAGTAAAACTAATAATTAAGTAATTCTTGAATAGTGTTTATGCATTATTGTTGATCCTTTCGTTTAGAATGTTTTATAACGGTGGGCAACGTTAGAACTCGCCTCATTCCTACTTGCGGACCAAGGAGGTAACGAATGAAAAAGGGATTAAACAACGGAGATTTAGACGTGATAATCCGCTATCTAATAGCCTAACCCACTTACTGCGAAGGCTAATCTAGGGTTAAGGGTAAGGGTTAGTAAAGCAGACACCTGTAGACGGACCAAGTTCTGTGGTGAAATTCCCTATTTGGAGGACCAATCACTTAGGAGATACATAACTTACCAACCGTGCATGCTAACACTAGGATAGAGTTACTATTATTGGAATTACTGCGTTAAGAACTTCTAGGGAGCACATATACCCTAGTTTTCATCTCATATTGATATTTCAAACTGCGAATTGTGATTACTTGTTACTACAAATCAATCAACTGTTATTTTACTTACAACCCCCCCCCCCCTTTTACTGAAGTAATTTGACAAAAAGTAGATAATTGTAAGTTAGCCTAAGTCAAAACTATATTCCTCGTGGGATCGACCCTGACCTAAAAGTTAGGTTCTTTATTTGACAACGGACGCTTATACTTCTTTCGGGAAGTATAATTTGGGCGTATCAATTGATTTGTCAAGACTATGATAGACTTCTGCATTTATGACAAACTCCTTATGATATGAGGTTTCCTACTTTAATTCTCATATTTTCTATTATATTGTGTTGTATGTATGTCAAGTGACTTGTGTAGTGCCTCTCGGGGTCTTATACTCCATGTCACGTCTAGGGTATACTTTGGGTCGTGATAGGCTAAGATCAAACTCCATGCGCTCACATGATATATTATCTCGGTTACACTATTAGACTCTCATAATGAACTAAAATATGATAAAAGAAAATATTTATAAGGTAGTATGAACGACCTCATCTCTTAACCTTCATATGTTACGATTATGACTATGTTAACTACTTCTATTGATTTGATATGTACGTACTATTCCATATGTACTTGCGTCCCTCTTTTCGAGGGCGCTGCATCTTTTTGTTGATGCAAACTCAGGTAAACAGACATGTGATCAAGCTGCTCACTAGTTCCATATCATTTCCTATTGATGAGATTCTTTATGTTTTCGGACTTAGTCTGCATATTTCTAGTAGTTCATGTTTTTGTGTTTAATGTATATTGGAGGCATTGTCCCAATAGACGCTTCTCAATTATGTTCAAAGTCTTATAGACATATAAATAGTTATGTTACGTTTGGACTTTCGTGTCCTTTGACAATGATTTTAATTTTTTATGACTTGCGTTGTGAAATTTGTTTTCTTATAAAACTTGTTTCTTCGAATGCTTTCATATGTATTCTTTCGCTTATGTTTGGATGTATGTTCATGTCCAATGCAATGTTATAGGTACGCTCGGACCAGCAATGACATTGAATGTTGGTCATGTTCAATGTGTAGGCATGGAGTGTGACACAACGAATACAATTGTATTTATTAATGCAAATAAATTATATTAGAGATATTCTTATTCAATTTCGCATAGTTTATTTACATTTTACTGTATTAATATTAAATAGACAGAATAAAAAGAGTTGGAAAAATTAAAATAGACAGAATAAATGGAGTTGGAAAAATCAGGGAAAAAATGCGATGAACGTGAATCAAACACGTGACCTTCAGATCTTCAGTCTGACGCTCTCCCAACTGAGTTATCCCCCTAATGTGATTTGTTTGTAACTTGAAATATACTTAAAATAATAAATATGTGTTCATTGAATGCTTAATTATTAAGTATATCATTCTCCTGAGGACTATCTTAAGGTTTAACATCATATTACTTGTTTTAATTATCACTTGTATAAATCCTTTAAGACCTAAAAAATTTCATAAACACTACTACTATTACTACTATTAGTATTATTCCAGAAAATATTCTTTAAACAACATTTCTTCTATGGCAAACATTATTTTAGCCTTTATTCTAGTGAAAGATATTGGGATATATATTATTAACCATATGTTTAGATACAGTACTTATTATAGAATAATTATTTATTTAATTTTATTAAAAGTTTTAATAGATCATATATTCGTTATGGTGTTTGTTTACTTATATAGTAGATGATCTAGTGTAGAGAGTTTTAGCTTATACACAGAGTATTAAATCATTGGTTCTTATAAGTATAAAGTTTTTTATTCACAATCTAAGATGGAAATTGGACATTTCATCGGTAGGATTGTAGCACAAGATTATATGTAATTTATCTTGATTATGGGAACAGTATAGTTTCACCTTCTTGTGCTAGTGCATTTTGTATGTATTGAACGGGACCAAGTAGAGATAGTTGCTTTAGACTGACTGACAAAAGTATATTCTCTAAACTGTTAAATGTACTTATATTCTTAATCCTGATATAACTATTATGAGTTGTATATATTAATTATTGTTTTGATTTATTAAAAGATGAGATTCTAAGATAGGTCAATATGTCTGGTAGATTGGATGATAATAATATATATTGGTGAAATAATAACTTAGTTGATGGAATCCATATCTCGATATAGAGATTGATGATACGTTTTTTTGAGAAGCTTATAAGTTTTTATTGTGTCAAACCTAGCAAGTGGATTTTTGAATCCGACACATGAAATAAGTTAAGCATTGCTCTAAAGGAAATTAATCATTGAATTAAATTTGTCGGTAATTTAATTTATTGATTAGTATTTGTAATCTTAACATGGGGAGATGTTTAATCGGGAATTTTGAAATATAATTGGAGGAGTGCAATTACGAATTTTTAGTGGAATGATTTGCAATTTATTATGGTAAGAATCATTCAAGTTAATTATTTGGAATTATTTCCATTATAGGAAGCCTCAGTAATTAATTCTGTGGTCCCTACCGTGCTCATATTTAACTAGAACTCACGATCCTATTTTCTATGGGAAAGAAGGAAAGTAGCGTGTATTTTCTTGTTCAAGAAAATATTTTGGCTTCTCCTTTTTGGACTGAGAAGAAATCTCTATAAATAGGGTTTCTTCTAACCTAAAAATAAGAATAAGTTTTTTATACGATACTTGCCCCTCAAGTATTGAGAAACTTGGGAACACTATAGAAGACCGCGAACTGTTGTCTAACTTGTGGGTCTAACTTGTGGATCACTTGAAGGTGCTTCAAGAGGTAATTCTTGAATTAAATTTCATCAAATTTATGTGTTATAGCATAAACATATTGATTATCTATTATTCATGTAAGCAATATGATTTTGATATGCTTCCATTGTGCATATAGTTTCCAACGAAAAAAAGCTTGAGTAAAAAAATCCTTACTATTGTTTGGACTAAATTAAGTAATTTCACCTTAACAGTAGCAAATTAAACCAGAACATACATACATTAATTAATTAATCTAAGTGAAATAGAATTTATTTTGTGTTGTTCATATACTTATTGATGTCTCTCTCACACACCTAATGTAGATACAGATGTTCTAAAAGTCTTTTATTAAAATGACTATATAGCAAAAGTATATAAGCTAAAACAATGTTATTTTAATGCACTCTGTTCGATAGATTGTCAACACGCGAATTTTTTTTTCTGATTTTAAATTTAATCCAGGACGCAAGGAACATTTTAAGTGGCTCTCAAATTATATATAACTTGTTGAAATTAATATAAATAAAATTTCCAGTTTTGATCAAATAATTAAAAAAAAACGTCACTACGATAGTCTAGAAAATAAAGATGTTTCTTCATAAATTTACGGCCATTGTCATCCTGCAAAACAGTTAAAAATTAAAACACATTTTGTTGTCGCATTAATTCACTTCCAGTAGGTGTAGTCCCAAAAGTGAAGTCTAGGAGCGTAGAGTGTATGTTGACCTTACCCCTACACCTTGGTGTGGCCGGTAAAGAGGTTTCTGCTAGAAGCTACCCAATTGTCTATTTGAATAATCTTTCAAGAGTCTACAAGTGACATTTGAGATAACCATTAAAGTAGACACACTAGCCATACCGACGACATTAGTCTCCTTTATCAAATTAGCCAATTTAAGGCCTTCCATAGCTCAAATATACCGACTTTGCCTTACACGTTATAAGTCCCGAAAAAGTCTCACGGATATAGTTGCATTATTGATAAAATATATCCAATTCACAACTGAATGTCAAAAGAGTATGATACCCCCTCCCTTTTAGGATTGGCTAGCAAAGATCTCTTCAAAGAAGTGGAGCAGATCACCTTTTTGAGCATCGAAGCCTAGCAACTTCTCCACTGCATGCTGCATCCAATTTGCAAATGATGGATTGAAATTGATACAACTATTGTCGTTTAAAATGATATTATACCTTGTACTGCTGATCCTGAGCTATTATATCCTCACTGACAAGTCTCTCCATTTGGTTGTCATTCTTGATAGTATCCAATATTAATGCTGCTCGCGTTAGAACTTCGTGAGGTAATCCTGCAGGAAAAAGTGCACTTTGAATTATGATAAGATAAGCAAACTATAGAAGTAGTCGACACCATTAAAAACGTTACAAATATATGCTGCTCTTATTCTTAGGCCAAAGAGTCATATTTACTGCCCTATCAACATGTGGAACTTTTCAAGCAATGTTTTAACTTACCAGCAAGCTGGGCACAATGCAACCCTGTAGAATAAAAGAGTCCGTTAGAAGTTTATAATTTGCATGTCCCTTTGAGGTACAAAAGTTGCACTTACCATAGCTAAGGAGTGCACGTCCAGGGACCAACCTGCCATGGCATAAAAGAGTAGGTGATAATATCTTTCTCGGAGAAGAAATAACTACTACAAAAAGTTAAATCTAACATGTGGACATGGTAAAAGTTGAAAGATGATCATCAAACAATGTGTGTAGCCCTTAATGTACTAAAATGAATAATAGAACAGTCATTTGTAAATTAGGCAATGCCAGGAACCTAAAATCAGATGCGTCACTTAGGTTGAATGTAAAATACTATAACAACAATAACATACCTAGTTTGATCCTACACGTGGGGTCTTGGAAGGGTGGTGTGTGTGGAACCTTACCCCTACCCTACGAAGGTAGAGAGGTTGTTTTCAATAGAATGTAAAATACTAACAGTGAAATTTTGGCCAGTGACATCTAAGTTTATCCATCAGACGGGTCACTTCTCCTCAAGTGGGTAAATACAAGTTGAATATACCAAACTTGCCACATATGTAGCTAGTTGGAGGACTGGTAATGAACTTGGTGAATATATTTGCAAACTTATCATTATGGAACTTGAAATAATGCTCCTGGGAGCATCATTTTCTAATTTTCACCGAGTGTTTAAGTCTATTTCTGTGTTCTTATCTTCAAATGAATACAATATGAAGCATATCTTGATTATTACACAAGTTTAATCCAACCAATCTCTAAACTCTGATTCTTTGAGTAGTTATTTGATTTATATGAGTTCATTGTTAGGCACCACCACTACCGGTAATTCAACTGCTGCACCAAATTTTACAATCACATTTTTCCTCTCTCTTCTAAGACGTCAATATTATCTCTGACTAGAACACTATACAAAAATACATCATCCATCAGAAAGTAACTTTGCCTAATTTATGTTGTATACCGAACAATCTATTCGTACATAATCCTTGTAACTTAAGCCTTTCCATAGAGATATTCCACACAAAGAATCCAAAAACTAAGTTACAGTACTCAACTAGAAGGCAAATCGTTCAGAAGTACCAGTAAGATCCTTCAACTTGTCAACCAACCTCCTTGATCTTTTGCAATCACTAAGAGCATCCCAAACCTAGTAAGAGCTTAATTTTTGGATCCAGGAGAACATCATTACATGTACAATCTATCATCCCCGTATCCTCAAGGAAGTTGAGAATATACTCATGTCGTGAATTGACAAAGGCAGATCTACATTGAGCAAGCTCAATGCCTAGGAGACATCACAACTCATTTAGGTCCTTCATCTGAAAATGTTTGAAGTGCGTAACCATCTCATCTAAAAGGTTAATTGTTAGAGAGAGCACACTTTATTTACTTAATTATATCTACTCAAGACGCGCCTCACGAGTGGGCCTGGTTCATTTTCATGGGACAAGCATGTGAAAATTCTTTTTAATAATGGGTGACTGTGAGACTCGAACCCGAGACCTCTGCCTACTCTGATACCACTAAATTAAGACTATCGCTGCTTTCCCCTTTTTGGTTTTCCAGTCTAGTACCCTCTTTGGGGAGCAACTAATTCGGATTCGCACCAAGAGGTCCCACTTTGAGGGGTTAAACGCTCCCTAAAGGTTCACAACAGAGAAATATGAAAGTTTTTGTGTCTTGTTCATGATGTGCAAATATTTATCAGTTTAATATCTGATATGTGGGCCATTGGTCCACACGATATTAACTCAATTTAATACAAGAGGTGGACCAACAATAACTCTGCATCAAGGTCATGTGATTAACACCCTGCATGAATCATTTGTCCATAGCCATGGTCATCTATGACAATCAAGTCACAAAAAACACTATTGAACAGTTAGTTTGCACAACATACAGACTAACTAGAACTTTTTCATTCTGTGATACTTCTAGGTGGAGTCTGTAAAAGGGAAAGGATTGGCATTTGGCTTCTCCTTTTTGCACAACAAATAGTACAGTGCTAGTCTTCATATATGATCATATTATACAGTACTCGAGGAGAGCACAGGTGCAAGACCTGATGAAATAGATCAACATAAATCTCTACTGTTGCGAACTAAGCATACCTTTATTTTTTTCAGAAGTAAATAATAAGAAGAAGAAACAAGAAATGAGAGATAGTAATTGATGCTTCAATGGACCCAAAAATTAGAGATATGTATGAATTGATTATATAAAAGGGTCACTGAAAAGTAACTGTGCAATTGAAAAAGAAATAAAACAAATTTTAAGGAAACATAGTCAAAAAACAATTTGTTTCAAGTCTGTAGGATCAAATAAAAGGTAAACAAGGAATAACACGCATTGTCCCGCAGTAGTTGACTTTTACTTGGAATCAGGTAAAAAGTGCAACATGAACATACCTATAGAGAAATACAATGTCTTCAACATCGGCACAATCTTTATCTCGGCTTAGCACACTCATAGTGTAACACTTGATTCTGTCTGACTGAAATTTATCAAAATACGTATCTTCTTGGTACCAACAACTCGGAAAGCTTTAAAATGATTTCAAATAAGAAACATCAGGCAAAATCATTAACATATACCTCTAGTAAACAACTATTATCAAATATCTCCGTCAAATGAGTACAAACCAGGACCTGCAAAAAAAACCATTATGACTATAGACTTCTATTAATATAATAGTACACAAGTTCCAGACATGTAGTGAGGCACAACTTTTCCCAAGAAATTTAGGTTACCGTGTTTCTGAGAACCTTTTATGTCTAAGTTTATCGCTAGGCCTGAAGCAAAATATGTAAAGTGGCTACTAAAAATCGAGCTTGAAGCTCCCGAGAGTTGGTGGCTATTGGCCACCACTACAATAAAAAATCTCATCATGTTGGTTTCTTTCTTGAAAGTTGTGATGTTAGCACTTTGGTTGAGTATCATTTGTGGTGGACATATCGGTTGGTGTTGAGGATGGACTGGTGGAGGTGCTGCTGGAAATTTACTGGGCGGTGGCTTAAGCTAGAAATAGCAGTTTTGGAGTGCAAGAGGAAGTCAAATTTGACAACTAATATAGGACAGTGACAGTGTCAAAAGGTTTGGGGTCAGGCAAATTATATTTTGTTGCTTTTCAAGAATTGAGCATTTGGTCCTAAGCATCCATAAAACAATCAGCCTCAAGAAAATTTCAAACAACGCTGACTGGTTTTCCTAGAAGAAAAGAAGTAGTGCCGTTAAAGGAAGCAGAAACATTGCTGCTCTTTGAAATCAGTGTGAAATTGTACTATTTGAAGACCAAAAGGGCCTGCCAACAGAGGGGTCAAACTTATTAGAAAAGGGATGTATAAGTGCGTTAACTATTTAATGATGACACAAGCAAACCATACAGTTTTCAGAAAGTAATAAACAACAAGGATGTGGTCCCTTCAGTTCCGCCAATACAATATCCATGCAGATGACGATTTCTCATATTATTTTGTTGTACATAAATATGGTAACAATACTTAACCATTACCATCTCAATTCTTACAAGCATTAGGGAAATCACTTACACTCGTCCCTCCTATCTAAACAAAGGGCAGTAGTACCAGACCTTTGGAGGGTCATAGCATGATACAAAGTGATTTATGGTTCCACCAAGGAGACCGATACCATCTGAAAGGAATAACAAAAATGACTGAGACAACCAACATAAATGGAAATACCATTGTGCTAAAACGAATTCTACTACTTTATTTGGTTGATCAATCTTTTTACAAGAAACAAAAACCTCAAGTCGTCATGCACTAGCACATGAGAAAGGACAACTTAGATCACTACGTAATTGGTATTTAAATGTCTATGAAAATCAGTATGAAACAGATGGAGATCAGCATGAACCAGCATATCAATTCAATTGGTATTTAGGTTAGTATTATGTTTCAGAAGATTTCTACATTTCCATATCAAAGCACAGTATAAATGAAAGATTTAGAATCAGAGACAGAAATGCCAGGTACTTGAAAGACCAACCTTCTGTAAGGGTGCCTTTACCAAACTCATCCATTAAGCACAAGGACCGAGGACTTGCATGCCTGAAAATGATTTTCACGTGAAATTAGTTACAGATTATTTATGTGTCTGTACATGTATATATCACGTATATGTGTGTGTCCCTTTATATACTTGTATTATACCATGCTATCAGAAAACATACTGTTGATAATAAACATAGATACATAACTCAGCATTGTGAATTTCAGAATTACTGATCAACCATGGCTCTATGTTCAGATGAAATATATTGCAGTCCTTCAATATGCAAAATTTCTGAAAGTATACCTTAACATAATTCCCACTTGATGGAGATCAATCATAAATGTCGACTGCTCTGCAGTCATAAATTTACTCCCCATGGCACAAAATATCCTGTTTGTCAAGTGTTATTATCACTCTGTCATATTAGGCAACAAGGAGATGAACTAAAATATAACCAATGCAAAGTTGACACTCCTTGGAAATTATGTCCTCATGTTGAAGAATGCAGTTGAATATAATTTTTTTACAGAAAAATGGTGCTGCATCAAAATAAATTGAACTAAAACCAGTAGAAGAAGTGCAGAAACCTGTCAGTTAAACCCACTGTGGCAGCATCTGCTGGTACATAACTTCCAATGTGGGAAAGGAAAACTATCAAGGCAACCTAAGATATTTATTGAGATGAAATGCTTAAGTGGATGCAAATATGGAAATTGCATTCATTACAATACAAGTATTTTTTAGATGAAGAATATTGGTAAACACTGAGGGTAGATGACCTGTTTCATCGGTGTTTACATCATTACAAGTTTGAGAGTAAGTTTAAACACCGGTATATTATATAAAATAACAAGATAAAATGCAACATCAATGAGGGAACCATATCCTTTGGCTAATTCCATCCAGTAAAATGGAATATGTTCAAGGTGATTTAATATTCGTAACTACAAAAACATCTTGCATCAGAGAATTATATTTAATAAAGTTTTAAATTCTATACTACTCGGAAACTAGGACACAAACTTTGGAGTGTGAAATTGATTATAATCAGAACATCAAGACTGCAGGTGGGACTTGCAGCAACTCTTCCACTTCGGATGGTTATGGATTGTATGAATGGTTTAGAGGATTTAAAAATCTTGACACTTCATTTGGTGAACAAGGACAGATCACCAAGTTGTTTGGGCTTATAGTTAGACCTTAGTCATTCTATAAATTTTGTCCTTATTGTATGTCAATCTCTTCTAGTCTATCAGTTCTCATGGAAAATTATCAAAACGACAAAATCATCCGCTAGAAAAAGGTCTTTTTCATCTAGAACATATAGATCAGGATCTTTTATGGTAAATAATGATGAAATGTGTGATCTTCTCATCTAAAAGTTTAAGCTATTAGAGAGAGCACATATTTATTTACTTAACTATCTCTTTAACACACCCATTCACGTGTTGGCCTGATTGAGCACATATTTATTTACTTAATTATCTCTATTAAAGAATGACAAAACTCCCACATTGGTGGTTAATGAAATGGGTGGACTCCTTATAAGGCTTGGGCAATCCTCCTCCCTTTGAGCTACCTTTTGGGGTTGAGTTAGTCCCAGGTGTCATATCTTTACATGGTATCAGAGCAGGGCCATCTCACCCAATGTTGGGGGCCCCAAAAAAAATAAAAAATTGCCCACACACCAGATGCTAAGCACTGGGCATGAGGTGGGTGTTAAAGAATGACAAAAGTCTCACATTGGTGGTTAATGAGATGGTTGGACTCCTTATAAGGCTTGGGCAATCATCCTCCTTTTGAGCTAGCTTTTGGGGTGTGAGTTAGGTATAAGACCTAATTTAACAATCTCTTTAACACACCCCTTCACGTATTGGCCTGATTCTTTTTTATGGGTCAAGTACGTGGAAATTCTTTTTTAATAATGGGTTGTAGTGAGATTCAAACCTAGGACTTTTGCTTGCTCTAAGACCATGTGGAAGATTGAGACTATCCCATCTAAAAGTTAAAGTTGTTAAAGAAAGCATATTTTTATTTAGTTAATTATCTCTTCAACAAATAGATTCATAAGTTCACGAATAAATACACTAATTACCTATGTATATTAATATAACTTAGTTTTTTCTGATACAACTCTAAATTTCAAAGTAAAACACAAACATAATGGAATTCACTACGGTAAATAGATTCATAAATATATATATGTTTAGGATTTCCATTACAGTGGCAGAGTTAAGTGCTTGGCTTCAAAACATAACGGTTTATAAGTAAATTGAAATAAACTTGTTAGAATAGGAATAGGTATATACAATCCTACTTAGAATAGGAATAAAAATAGGAATAGGAGTAGTAAATAATATCCTACTTGGTAAAAGATTGTATTGTAGTGTTTATAAATAGGGTCTTTGTGTAATAATGTAGATACAAAAATTCAATAATATTCTTCTCATTTATTTCTCACATGGTATCAGAGTCTACAATCTTGGTAAACAATCAAAAAGTTTCCGCTGCTGGGGGTGGCTATTACCCATATATGTCGCCCGTCTGGCCAATGATTATGTTAACAAAAGTAAGGTTAATGATATATGCATGAACCCATATTCGGGGACGAAAACTCAAACAGACAAGTCACCATGCGTCAATTTTTTGGTGACTTTCTAGGGTTGTTTTGTGTCAACTCCATATCTGTCGGTATTTGTGTAGCACCGTGCCATCTTTCCAGTGACTACTCTTTTTTTTCCATATCTGATTTGTGTAGCACCGTGCATCTCTTTGGACTACTTCTCATATTTAATTTGCGTAGTACTGTGGATTTTTCAAAACTTCTTTCTCATATCTAAGTTGCATAGCATAGTGTGTCTTTTCGGGGACTCCTCAGATTTGATCTGCATAGTTCCATTCGTCTTTCCGGTGACTCCTCAAATCTGATTTGCGTGGGGTTGTGCCATCATTCCAACTCTACCCCATATAATTTTTCTTTTTCAGTAGGGTCGTGTCATCATTCCAACCCTACCCATGTTATTTCTCTTTTCAATATGGTTGTGCCGTCAATCCGATCTTCCTATATAATTTCTATTTTTCAGTTGGGTCATGCCATCATTTCAACCCTACCCATATAATTTTATTTCTTAGATTGTGACCACTTTCAGCCATCAAATCTAATACTCCTACATATGAGCATGTTTCGACCAATTTTTCGATGACTTTCTTATTTAATATAGACTCGTCTATTGATTCCAACATAATTCACATATTTTATACTAGATTTTGAGCACTTTCCGGCGACCGTTGCGTTGTGAAGAAGTCTATATAGAGCCATGGGCGAATCTACCCTAGAGCAAGGGGTGTTGAGCAACACCCCCTCATCGGAAAATTACACTGTATATATAGGTCAAAATTTAATTTAATGAATATATGTACAAGTGTTGACACATCTTGACACAAGTTGAAGGTTTAGTATAGTGGTTAAGGGATTGCAAAACTTGTTGGAGGTTGTGTGTTCTATTCTTGATAGCAACATTTACTTTTTTACTTTATATTTTGACACCCCTTAATAAAAATCCTAGTTCCGCCACTGTATGTAGCAACCACCTTATTTTGTTGCTCAGGGGGAGTTTAGTAGCCTTGTATGTCGATTACGTAAGTTATTCTATGGTCTGAAACAGTCTGTGCAAACTTGGTTTGGGAAGTTCAACTCTGTAATTTATCACTCTATGTTATATCAACATTATGCATCAAATCCAATGTTTCATGAGAAGACTAAGCATATTGAGATTGACTATCAATTTGTGAAGTCGAGTGATCAAGTTGCAGATATCTCACCAAGCCACTCATCGGTCCTCGTATTAATTACATGTGTAACAAGCTAGGTATATATGACTTGTATGCACTAGCTTGAGGGGGAGTGTTAGAATAGGAATAGGTTTATACAATCCTACTTAGAATAGGAATAAAAATACGAATAATCATAGGAATAGGAGTAGTAAATAATATCCTAGTTGGTAAAAGATTGTATTGTAGTGTTTATAAATAGGGTCTTTGTGTAATAATGTAGATACAACAATTCAATAATATTCTTCTCCTTTATATCTCACAAAACTATAGTGAAATAATCAACAACTTACCCAGTGAAATCTCACAAGTGCAGTCTGGGACAGGTAGAGTGTACACAGACCTTACCACTACCTCGTGTAGGTGGAGAGGTTGTTTCCAAAAGACCCTTGACTCAAGTGCAGCAATTTGTATATATTACATTTTACAAAATTTTAACAATGACAATAGACTTTTTTTTATCATTATTCTAAAACTTTGATTTGCAATCTTACTAGAGCTGGCCAATTTATCTGCTGCACTTTCCTTTACAATCAAAGTGGCCAGAGAAGTAAACAAGTGTAATAAGCTTTATTAAGGATTTTTTTTTTTTGAGGACTTTATTAAGGATTTAAACCCTTTGGAAATGAGAAGATGAAAATATTTTTAATGGTCAATGAAATACAAAACATGAGGATGACTTTAAAAAATCTGCATACATATGTGAATCAGCTGAAGTAAGCGATGCTATGAACAAGTATGAAGTGTAGAAAAACATATAATTTGGCTGGTACTTTTATAGAGGTTTGGAAGTACATCGGAGAGGTTAGAGTAGTATAACTATCCAAGTTATCCAATAATATATTAAGAAGTAGAAAGATGCCAAGAAAGTGGAGAAAGAATACTGTTAAAGAATGAATGTAGTTATGCTTGTAAATATACTAGGAAAGCGTAATTATAGGGATTGATATCAGATTTTTAGGATTTTCCTTATAATTCTTTTTATAGTTTGGAATTTGGATTCTATATTAAGATTTCAAAAAGAAGAAATGTTTCTTGATAAATATACATCCCATGAGAATGGGTACTTATACAATGATACCTAAGACTAAATAAGGAAAAACAATATTACACAATCAATTCCTAATCAGTTGTATCTTATACAATATCATTCTACTCCTATAGTAAAGCTAGAAAATCAATCAATCAGCATAGATGTATATATACTTGTTACTTCATGGAATAAAAGATCAATCAATCTCCCATACCTTGTCTGTTACAAGTACCTTCGTTCCAATTTATAAGACTAGAGGAGATATTCAGAGTTGCACGGACAATCATAGTATGTGATAAACCTTTTGGAAAATATGATAAAACATAGACTTGGGGATATTACAACAATGACATAACTAGTTCATATTCATGTCATGGATCTACAACAGAAACTAATTTTTCTAAGAAGATTGGACAAAATTTACGAGAGAAAGAAGGATCTCCAATTGATATTCATTGACTTAGAGAAAGAGTACAATAAATAATCAAGAAAAGTCTTTTGAAGCATAAAGAAAACAATTTACACCTAATATATAATTTCCATATACATGAAGAAGTGGTTATAAATGTGAGACCTAAGAAGTTACATAGAAGTTTCTAATAGCTGTGGGTTTACAAGTCTGTTTTATATAAGAGCTAACCAAATAGTGAGTTTCCAGTTGTGTTTTACGCGTAGATGATATTGAATTAATTGATGAAACTAGCTAAGTAGTCAACCAAAAGCTGGAACACTAGAGAAACATTCTAGAGAACAAGTGTTCTAGGATAAGTAGAAATAAGACAGAATATACGCATTGCATGTTTAGCACCATAAGAAGAACAAAGTAAAGTGAAATCAGACAGAATCACGATGTCTTATAAGACAACTAAGATATGTACGCTCAGTCTTCCAGAGAAATTGGCATGATAGATGAAGATATTAAACATAAGTGAAAAAGAAATGGTTGAAATGGAAGAATTTTACGAGAATGTCCAAGCGATGGATACCTAATAAAACGAAAATCACGTTTTATAGGATGGTTACCAAGATCAGGACTATCATATGGGAGGATGTTGAGCCTAATGCCTAACATACCCACAAGATGAAGGTTGTAGAAATGCTTCTTGTCTTGTAATAACCATCCAGTATCTGAAACCCACTGGCCCAAGTTATCCATTAAGGGGGAAGCACTCCCTACTAGGGTTCTCCATTCCCATGGATCGAACCCAAGACCTTTGGTTAAGGCCAAGGGTACAAAAATCCCATCTACCCAACCACACTCTTGTGGTAAAGTTGTAGAAATGTGAATGTTAAGATGAATATTTCATCATATACGATTGAACAGATATAGAAATAATTAAATTGGAAAAATAATGCAAGTAGCTTAGTAAGAGTATAAACTGAGTCATTTGTGATGATTTGGCCATATTTGATGTAAACCATCCAATTTATCGGTTGATAAGTGTGACTAGAAGTTGAACTATGAAAACCCCTATAGAGTGAGGTTTTAAGTTTAGTAGAAGTAAGATTGAATATATGTGGTGTAAGTTTTGCCAACACAAGAAAAGTGAGACTGGACTAGATTGCGGTGCCTAAATACAAACAATTCACATACCTCAGGTTGGTGTTACCATAAAATGTTACATAGAATCAAAAAGCATAGTTGAAATGAAGAAATACTAGTGGGGTGTTATGCTATAGGAGGATACCTACCAAAGTAAAATGCAAATTTTATAGAACGTTTGTAAACCGACAAAGTTATATGGCAGTAAACGTTGTACCTCAAAAGTCCATCATATCCATAAAGTGAATGTTTTAAAAATGTGTATGTTAAGATAGATTACAGTCATACAAGAACAGACAAAATTAAAAATGACCAAATTCGATGGAAGATACAAGTTGCAAACATAGAGGATAAAGTGAGAGAAGGTCGCTTGAGATGGTTTGCCCACATCCTACGTCGACTTTCAGATGCACCGGGTCGTGTGTGTGAAACCATAATGAATGGAAGTGTTAAAAAAGAGGCCAGATAGACTAAAATCACAAAAAAGGAAGCTGTCTTGAGAGATCTACAGTCTCTTCAAATTCATGCAGACTTGGTGCAATGTAGGGCACACCAGAAGAAAATCATATAGGCGATGTTAGAGATTTGTATGCCACTAGAAAATGTGGAGGATTTCTAGTGCCAAAGAACCTACACTTTTAAATATTGGCCTGATGCGGTCTAAAATGGAGTGACACAGCTAGACATGATTCATAAAGCTGATTCAATGAGATTGGAATTGAGGCCGTAGTTGTTGTTGTTCGTTGTGTTTACCTAAAAATAAAATCTATAATCAAAGGACATAGGTGGTGAGAAATAGCATAATGAAGAAAGATTTGTAACTATAGGGGTCGTTTGGTTGGGGAAAAGTTATCCCAGGAGAAGTTATCCCACCATGTATATGGGATAACTTATCCCATCACTATGGTATAACTTATCCCTAATGGCTAATACCTCCAACCAAACGCAGGATAAAATAATCCTGCATTTTATCCCGGGATTATTTTACCTTATACCTCACACCAAACAACTCCTAACTGATTAGCAGGTTCTTAGTCAGTTTTAGGTGCACAAACATTCCAGAGCACCAAATTAACATTGTATGTAGTGAGAGAAAGAGAGATAGAGAGAGTTCTACCTGCTTGATGTAGATACTTTTTCCCGAATAATTAGGGCCTGTGATGATATTAATTCTTCCTAGAAAATATATAATGTTCAGCCACAGGATATAGTGCCTGGCAAGAATTGGTGAGGCTAAAATGGCTCCTTCAATGGACATTCCGCTATACCTTCAAGAGTAATATTTGTGTCATTGGGAATAAATGTGTCTACAGTCATCTCCTGCAAAACATGTCTGGAAAGCGAATATATAAAACGGAATCCCTTAGCAGATGCCCTAATGGTAAACCCTGCATTTGTAATAAAAAGGATAGTCTCAGTTATTCTCATGTTTCTTACCTTCCACTCCTTATATCAAGCAAATCTTCTGCAGTCAAATTTGGCCTTACATAGTTGTTTTGACGTGCAACCAAGGCTAACGCTAAAATGCTACACGGAAGCAGAAAATAAATGTTAAGCGGGAACAGAAGAGAACAGGGAAGAATTTTTTTTATCAAAATGCTTACCAGTCAAGCTCAGCTGCAAAACTAACAGCCTTGTGCACATGCACTGAGAATTGAAGAATATGTGACACTAGGTCTCTTGTTATAGCTCTCTCCATATCTTCGAAAAAATTCAAAAGTGTAACAAAGAAAGAGGAAAATAAAACAAAATACACTACAGATGAAACTCTATTCAAACTGAATCCAAATATTCGTGCCATGAAAAAGTTTGTGCTTGGCAATAAAAAAGTTTCATGGTTTTGACTATCACACACGGTGATAGCAGGCAGCACTGAAACTTGTCTCCCTGTTACTATTGAACCTTGTCAGAATGAACCATATTCCATTTTGATTTTTCTTTCTTTTTTTTTTGGGGAATAAGAAGTGCCAAGTCTTTGAGAAGTATAATTGTGAAAGCTAAGGACAAGAATCAAGGAATACATACCCAGAATTTTATGATATATATCTCCGAGAAGGTTATCCAATTCTTTTGTCTTTGCAGTATGATAAAAGAACCTCCTATGTTCTCCCTCCTCATCAGCAAACTGGACATTTGATAACCCATTACTAATATAGATCAGAAGACGTCTAGTGATTCCATACACTGCTTTATAAATCATACAATGACATACCGCAAACTCATAGTCCTGAAGACTCTCTAGCATTTCTTCACCAAGTTTTTCATTGAAAATGCACATTAGGTAACCTGTAAGTGGAAAATCACAGATATTGATCACAACAATAGATGCGCAGTTTTATCATAGGTTTGATAGTTGTGACAAAGAAGATAGCATGTACAAACTCTCTGAAACTGACAGGACTAATGTCAACAGATGCAAGTAAAATTAGCACCCGCGGTGAGACAAGATGCATGACATCTCTCAGAACTGGAAAATAATACAGAACACTTTTCCATTTCAGGCAGTTCTCTACTTTCTTCATCTTGCTCTGAATCTTTAGTAGGTTTCCATATCTCATTAGATTCAAGCAGTTTATATAGGTATCAAATTGCACCCAAGGGTGTGGCCTGGTGGTCAATGATTTGCAGTTAGAACGATGATGCTCCTGCTCCATGTTAGGTCATTATGAATGCAAAAGTTATCAGGTCAAGAAACTTCTTTCAGGTTCAGCCAGTGACAGCCAAGTATAAGAGATCATCGGGTACTGAATGAATATGTCCCTAATCAACAGTCAGCTATCTAGCTTACTGTAAAGATGGTATGCTAGCTTAAATTATCATTTACCTATTCAGATAGATTAGGTATTCAAAATGAGATGCATCTTTTACATCTATTCCGATCACTCAAGTACGATTGCGAAAAGAAAAATAGATTTTGTTTTGTGCATTAAGTTGTTTAATGTCATTTTCAAGACGGCAAAAATGCCCGAAGAACGGAGATGGAGTACAATGATTCCATTATAAAAGAACAAAGGTGACATTCAGAATTGCAACAACTATAGAAGTATCAAGCTGCTAAGTCACTATGACGGTTTGGGAGAGGGTGAGGAGGGGTGTGGCTGTTTCCGAGAACTAGTTCGGATTCATGGAGGGATGCTCAACTACAGAAGCCGCTCATCTTGTAAGGAGACTAGTGAGCAGTACAGGGAGAGGACGAACTTACACAAGGTGTTCATCGACCTAGAAAAGCCTTACAACAAAGTCCAAAGGTAAGTTCTCTAGAGATGCTTGGAGGCTAGAGGTGTATATTAGGGTGATCAAGGACATGTACGATGGAGCCAAGACTCGGGTAAGGATAGTGGGAGAAGACTCGGAGCACTTCGCAGTTTTGATGGGATTGCACTAAGGATAAGCACCTTAAGCCATTTTATTTTTGCCTTGGTGTTGGATGAATTGATGCGGCAAATGCAAGATAAGGTTTCACGGCATATGTTATTTGTGGATGACATAATTCTGATTGACGAGACTCACAACAGAGTTAACGCTACACTGGAGGTTTGGAGACAGACCCCGGAGTCTAAAGGGTTCAAGTTGAGCAAGACCAAGACAGAATACTTGGAGTGCAAGTTCAGTGACGTAACACATAAGATTGGCGTGGAAGTGAGGCTTGATACACAAGTCATCCATAAGAGAGGAAGTTTCAAGTATCTAGAGTCTGTTAAGCAAGGAAATGGTAAGATTGACGAGGATGTCGCTCACCGTATTGGTGTAGGGTGAATGAAATGGAGACTTGCATCTAGAGTCTTGTGTGATAAGAAGGTGCTACAAAAACTTAAAGACAAGTTCTACAGACTAGTGATTAGACCAACTATGTTATATAGGGCAGAGTGTTGGCCAATTAAGAACTTTCACGTTCAAAAGATGAAAGTTGTAGAAATGAGGATTTTGCAATGGATGTGTGGGAATACTGGGAGAGATAGATTAGAAATGAGAATATTCGGGGACAAAGTGGGAATGGCTTCGGTGGAGGACAAGTTGAAGAAAGCGAGATTGATGTGTTCTGAACATGTGAAAAGGAGATATATGAATGCCCCAATGCGGGGGTGTGAGAGGTTGGTTATGGATGGCTTCAAGAGAGGTAGAGGTACATCAAAGAAGTATTGAGGAGAGGTGATTATTTAGGACATGACACCCTTTCAACTTACCGAGGACACGACCTTAGATAGAAGGTTGTGGAGGACACCAATTAGGGTAGGAAGTTAGTAGGTAGAAGTGTGTTGTCTTGCAATCCACCCATACAAGTAGTCGTGGTATTGCCTCTACAGTTTCGTGTCCTTTGATTTCTGTAGCTAACTGATATTTTTTGTACTTCAATTATCATATTATTTGGTTGTAATTACTATCCAGTATGCTTTGTAATGCTTTCACCTCTGTTTATTCTTTTCTAGACTGCTTTGGACTATTATCGAAACCAACCTCTCTACCTCTGAGATAGGGGTAAGGTGATAGCATCCATGTCAGCCTACTTGCACTAAAGTTGTCAGGCTTCAATAAGAAATCAAGAAGATGTTATCGTGGAAGAAAATCTCAAGATTGACCCAAGAATTATAACAAGAAGTGGACTAAGTGCTACATATATTTCATGGTCCAAGTTTGAGTCCAAGAGGCGAAAGATTGGACCACATGAATGCCAAGAAAAGGGCCCACATGCAGCCCAATAGGAGCATAAAAGTTTCCTATTTTAAAAGATTCCTAGTTTAAAAATTTCCTAGTTATTATTCTTATAAAAGGGGTGGGAATAATAGAGGTGGATTTTATTATTTTAAGAAAAAGACATGATGAATATTATGTGAGAGGTTTCTCTTCTTTACACCTTTGTGTGTGATCTTACAACCTTATAAGAATGATTCTTTAAGAGGTAATGATTCATTAAGAGGTAAGATTAATTCTAAACTTGATATTTTTGGTTCTTATTCGTAAATTAAAGAAGGTGATTAGTCTTATACTAATTGTTGTCTCTAATTTCTTCGAAATAAGGGTCCATATCACTTTTGATCTAAGTTCTTGAATTGACTCTATTAGTATCATAATTTGTCTTAATTCGCTAATTTTTTTATTTATTTTTTATGACAAGGGAAACCCGTAGCCGCTACCCTTTTGGTGCGCACAGGGTAAAACCCCTGCTCCTATGCAATAGCTCGCAAACCACATAGGAATGCTTGTTGTAGTAGCTTAAAAGTTAAGGTACATAGCAAAAAGCAAAAAAGAAAAAAAAAGAATCCCCCCCCCCCCAAAATGATTTTAAAAAATAGAGAAATTTTAGTTCCTTCAAAATTAAGGTATTTTTAAGAAATTCCAGATTTATTTTGATTCTTGATTTTTACCTCAAAGGGATTTCACTGGGTATGTTGTTGTATGTTGTTGCTAACTTAAAGACGCAAAAGTTGGATGTCTTCTTATTGGGTCATGTACATGCAATCATGGAGAAATTTGAGAAGTTGATATCAGTCACTGCTAGTGTTGAAAACCATAAATGCAATGACAAATGTTTTTGGTTCTTACACTTGCTAGACTTCTTAATTACACTGATTCAGTGCGAGATGAGATTTTGGCTAGTCTTGTTATTCCTACAGTGGATGAATTATTCTCTCCTTTACTTCGCCTTGTTCTGCAAACCAGTCACATAGTAGTCTCATCACTCATTATTGACCTTTCTATTGCTCCTTATATATCCCAACCATATTGCCATTGCTCCTGACAAATATCGTCGTTAGCATCCAGCATCAAGGTACATGATCTACTCATAATACTAACAACCATTACACAATTCAAAGTTATCGTCGTCTACCATCACCTCATTATATTTTGTATCATCTTTGTCCTCTATTTCCATTCCTAATCTAGAGGTGAAGCGCTCTCTCATCTAGGATGGTGGCAAGCTATGATTGATGAGACGTCTGCTTTACATCCGAGTGGTAAGTGAGGAGCTTGTCCCTCTTCCTCCAAGAAAATCATTGTTGGTTGTTGTTGGGTTTATGCAATCAAAGTTGGTCCATACAACAAATTAATCGGTTTAAGGATCACCTTGTTGCCTAAGGGTATACCCAGATATTTGAAATTATTTACAGTGATACTTTTTCTCCCATAGCTAAAATAGCATATGTCTGCCTTTTTTAACTGTGGTTGTTGTATGCCATTGGCCTTTCATCAGTTGAACATTAAGAATGTTTTTCTCAACAATGACCTTGAGAATAAAATTTATATTGAGCAACTACCTGATTTTCTTGCTCAAATGGTATCTAATGGTCTTGTATGTCGATTGTGGTGGTCACTTTGTAGTCTGAAACAATCTTCTCGAACCTGATTTGGTAAGTTCAGCACAATTATTTAGAAGTTTGGCATATAGAAGAGAATTCGGGATTTGAAGATTGTTAGTGCCACAACTTTATGTATATAGTGTACCTACTACTAGCCACAAAAACCAAATAAGAATGATGGGGTGGATTAATTAAGTTTGGTTTATTCTGTCAGGTCAATTGTCTTTTACTCGCATACAGAAAAATTGTTCACCTTTTCTTTCAGACTTGATTTAATTAAATTCTAAAACAAAATTACAACAAAACAATAATATCTTTCAAAATTATCTGGTACATGTATTGGTGAAAGGTAGCAAATACCCCGTGAAATTAATCGGGATGTGCACAAAGGCCCAGACACCATGATAATAAAATATTTCATGAAATAGGCCTTCAACTAAAAAATTTGCTTTAAAAGAATAGCTTATAATACATATCCCTTGTTTGATTAGAATAATTTATCTTCAACGTTCTTGAATTAATTTTCAATATTAATTATCTATTTTTACGATAATTCTTTGCAAAGTAATTCAATATATGAAAATTAACTTCTATTATTTTAGACATATAATTTTTCAAAAGTCAATAGAAAATACTACTCAAATTGTACTCTAATACATATATTGATGGTGTATCATAAAAAAGAGAAAAATTACATATCCACAAAAATCAATTTACATTATTTATCAAAAGAAGTTGCTCGTGAAGTAAGGTACAATAAGAGAAACAAAATGATGGTTAACGTAAGGAAATCTTTAAAAGAGAGAGAGAGAGAGAGAGAGAGAGAGAAGGAAGGGGAAGAGAGAAATTTAGCAAATAAAAGAAAGGAAAGGGTATAAAGGAGGAGAAGAAAAGGAAGGAAAACTAGAAGTGAGAAGGAGGGTACAACATCAACATACCCAATGAAATCCCACAAGTGGGGTCTGGGGAGGGTAAAATGTACGCAAACCTTACCACTACCTCGTGGAGGTAGAGAGGTTGTTCCAAAAGACCCTCGGCAGCAAGTACAGGTACAAAGAAGGAGAGAGTGAAGATAATATAGCAAGTAACATGTAAGTAGTGCAAAGTCTACCAGAAAAAAGAAAAACATCAGTAAAATAGTGTGATAATCGAAACACACTAAACAACATGCTTGGATAGATTATTGTAAACAATAATAAACACCAAGAAATACCAAAAACAAAAACTACAATAATACCACTAGTACAATGACAAACACCAACCACCACAAGCAAGACAGTACTACACTACCTACTAATCTTCTACCCTAATACGTGTCCTCCACACCCTCCTATCTAAGGTCATATCCTTGGTAACCTGAAGTTGGGTCATATCTTGTCTTATCGCTTCTCCCCAATACTTTTTCAGCCTACATCTACCTCTCCTCGTACCCTCTATTACCAACCTCTCGCATAGCCTCATTGGTGCATCAGCGCATCTCCTCTTCACATGTCCAAACCATCCCAATCTCACTTTACTCATCCTGTCCACCATGAAGGCCACTCCCACCTTAAACCAAATATCATCATTTCTAATCTTATCGCTCCGAGTATGACCACACAGACACCTCAACATTCTCATATCTGCAACACGCATCTTCTGGACATGGGAGTTTTTGATTGGCCAGCACTCCGCCCTATACAACAATGTCGGTCTAACAACCACTTTATAAAACTTACCTTTGAGTTTCAATGGTACCTTTTTATCACATAAGACTTCAGAGGCAAGCCTCCACTTCATCCACGCTACACCAATTCGTCAATGTCCCTACTCCCTTGGATTATAGACCCAAGGTACTTCATCTGTCACTCTTAGGGATATTTTGTGTGTCGAACCTCACTTCCATGCCTACCTCATGCCTCGCATCACTGAATTTGCACTCTACATACTCTATATTGGTCCCACTTAACATGAACCCTTTAGTCTCCAAAGTTTATCTCCACACCTCTAACTTAGCATTAACTCTATTACGCGTCTCATCAATCAGTACTATGTCATCTGCAAATAACATATACCAAAGCACCTCATCTTGAATGTCCCGAGTCAAATCATCCATCACTAAGGCCAATAAAAACGGACTAAAAGTTGATCCCTGGTGTAACCCCATCTCCACAGAAAAGTGCTTTGAATCTACCCCATCATTCTTACCGACGTTGCCCTAATCTAGGCTACTGATACACCTCTTGACTCCAGGCATCGCCATAAGACTTCCCTTAGTACTTTGTCGTAGGCCTCCTCAAGGTCAATGAACACCATATGTAAGTCTCTTTTCCTTTCTTAATATTTCTCCATCAATCTCCTCACAAGATGGATAACTTTTGTGGTTGATTTCCCTTGGCATGAATCCAAACTGAGAAGACACCCCTCTTTATCCTCATTTCAACCACTCTCTCCCAAACTTTCATAGTGTGGCTTAACAACTTAATACCCCTGTAGTTGTTGCAATTTTGGATCACACTTATGTTGTACGACGGAACCATTGTACAAGAACACAGGTTCATAAGGACATGAAAATCTTAAAAGGATCGACAAAGCAGTTGCACCCCCAGTTTGTTTGTGCATTCTGGGCGCCACTTGACCTATTTATAAGTTTTATCCCATATATTTACATATATATTCAGAATTTTAACAGAAGCATCAGGGTGGAATGGCACCCTTACCTTATAAGGTAGATCTGCCCATGTTGGCATGACTCATAGTGAAGCTGATCACTTTGTGTTTTATCGACTTTCTACTCAATTTGTGTAGTTTTTTGGTAGTTTTTGTTGACAATATTGTTACTACCTGCAATGTTTAGGATGGTATCACTAATTAGAAACATCTTTTTCAGTATTTCCAAACTAGACTCTTATTGATCCAAATGTTAATCTTTTGCTAGGACAAGGGGAGACTCATAGAAATTATGTAAGATACAACGATTGGTAAGTTCAATTACCTTCCAATGACTAGACCTGACATTTTAGTTCATGTGAAGTTGTAAGCAAGTTTATGGACTCTCCCAATGATTTTCATTAGGATGTCATTGTCCACATCCTTCAATACATAAAATCATCCCCAAGCAAAGGACTACTCTTTGAGGATCTAGGCATATGAGCAAGTTATTGGATGCATAGACACTAATTGGGCAGGTTCACCTTCGGATAGACATTCTACGTCTGGATATTGTGTTTTAGTAGGAGGTAATTTGGTGTCTTGGAAGAGCAAGAAACAAAATATTGTTGTTCGATCTAGTGTAGTAGCAGAATATTGAGAAATGGATTTGGGCAACTTGTATGTTAGTTTGGATCAAATAATTTCTAAAAGAGTTGAAATTTGGAAAAATCAGTCAGATGGAACTTGTTTGTGATAATCAAGCAACCCTTCAAGTTGCATCAAATCTAGTGTTCCATGAAAGGAAAAAGGTTTTGAGATTGACTCACTTTTTCAGAGAAAAGATACTCTTTGGAGATATTGTTATAAGACTTGTGAAGTCCAACGATTAGCTTGCAGTTACTTTACCAAGTACCTCAATGATCCTAGTATTAGTTACAATTCAAGCACGGTACATATGATTTATATGCGTCAGCTTTATATGCACAAGCTTGAGAAGTGTTAGATAGTCTCTCTCTCTCTCTCTCTCTCTCTCTCTCTCTCTCTCTCTCTCTCTCTATATATATATATATATATATATATATATATATATATATAAATAGGGCTCAATGTAAGACAACAGTTAACACGCATCTCAATAATATTTTCCCGTGCCTTTATTTTTCATAGCAATAGAGTATCTTCCATTGTCATATTAAACTACCTCAATAAAAGCAAATAGCTGTCAACATTCTTAAGGTATGGCCAAGCTCCTAAAAAAGGGAAAAGGATATAAAAGCTAGATACACCTTAATATACAAGTGAGATTGATATCTGAAAAAGGAAGCATCCCAAGGATCTAATTGGGCATCAGGCCATCAGCAGTTATCAGTTTAAAAGCTGAATTACCTATGTAGGTACAAAGTTATTATAACTATGGAACATTAAAGGGTGAACAGACCTATCTGATGTATGTAAATGATAGAAGGAATCCCCTTGTCTTCATACATGCAAGGAAGTCGTGCAAGTTCCAAGGCCGAAACCTGCAAAGCACTACTAATATTAAATTCAATAGCGTGCAGCCTTAACTTCAACAGAAAGTGGTTTAGTTGAGAAAAATCAGAAGTTAGAGAACCTCTTCCAGAAATTCTGGCAATCCCTCATATATCTGCCTCAGTTCATCCAGCTAGACAAACAAGACTACACTCATAATGCCATAAAAAAAAAAAGATGCCAAAACCAATGCAGGGAAAATATTAAACCCACAAATTACTGCAGCAGTATATCCTACCTCATCACAGAAACCCTCTTTTACTATTGTCTCATAACCCTTCTCTTTACTTCGATCAACATCAATGACACCAATTACCTGCACATTACAGGCACACACAATGTGAAAAAGCTCTTGCTGGAGTGCTAATGGTACTATTACTACCATGAGAAATTAGACAAATCTTTATGACAGAAAGGAGGACTATGGGTGAAAATCTAAGATCATTTTGGCTTGATCATAATTCAAGCTCCAATATAAAATGTCACTGATTGAGTGATTGAAGAAGTTCCCACTTGCCAGAATATGAGTGGCCAGATTTGCTTACCTAAAACCAGAAAATAAATGCATTCTTGGGCAGGGATAGAGGTCAAACTTACGGAAATTTTCTAGAAGAAAAGCAATGCTCATTTATCTTTTTTGGCTTCTCCATAGTATCAAGTTGACAATTTTGGATGATAAAACAAAAGATTTTTCTACATAGATTTCAAACTTCTTGTGAAGCTATTCCTATCCAATCAAGTCACAGTGTGAAAGCCTTACATATTGTAACTAGTATTGTACCAATAACGATACTAACCAATTCACAGACATAGGCTAGATCGACTGAAATGAAAAATCCAGCCTGCATCAAGAGAAAGCTGAGTATGTAGATAAGGACGGTTGTAAATATAGAAATCATAGTGGAATATAATAATTATGGTGAAGTTTAAACATTAATTAGATACCCTCTCAATAATATCCAAGTCCAAAGACGTCAATTCTTCTAGCAGAGATCCAGAAATGCCAACTTCAAATATTTTGCTTATATGCAGGAGAGCACACACACTCTGCATGAAATTGAATTCTCAAATCTGGGTAAAGCGTACTAATGGGGACTAATAAAGCAAGCAATAATCTAGATTTAGAAGCAACAAGTTTACACACACTCTGCATGAAATTGAATTCTCAAATCTGGGTAAAGCATACTAATGGGGACTAATAAAGCAAGCAATAATCTAGATTTAGAAGCAACAAGTTTCCCCCAAAGGGGAAACCGGAAACGAGAATAACACTCCTATCTAATTTGATGTGCTAGTTTGAGGTCAAAGAAGTAGACCTTTGAACATGCGATTTGGGATCATGATTTCAAATCAACGTTTTAATTGTAAAACTTGATATTTTGTAAAAAAGGACCCATCCTTTTAAATTTTGCCAAAAGACTCATGCTCAGCATAAAGAGATTGTATGAACCATGTGAAAGAATTATATTAAAGAACAACTAGTTACTACTATTGTTGACTAGCAGATCTTAATAAAATTATGTGTATTTGAAAGTTTACATGGAGATATACGATTTATCAATTTGGTGCCATATGATAGTCCGTTACATTGTTTATGAACTATGGTTTGCTCATTTGATAAGATTATATAAGAATGGGAGAAATTTTGATAGTTTTCACAACTTGTGGGGTTTTCATGTTTATCAGGAAAAAGTACAACTTAAGAAATCTAAATTGCATGTCCAAACATATCTTTAACTTCAAACCAATCTGATTTCAAATAACTTATGCAAATCATGATTTCATATCACGTCCAAACAGGGCCTACTTGTAATTGTATTAAGTACATCTAAAATAATCAGTGATAAAATGCTTAGCGAGTATAATGCTCAAACTCAGGTAAATGATGAAGGGTAACAAACATGCAATACTACTTTTCTTGTTTAAACAAAAAACTAAAATGAAACTTTAGACATGGCACTCCCATGACCCAGCATACATCTATGTGTGTTCCTAAATATTGTACTACTCTAGCTCAAATGGCATGTAACTATAAACTTCAAATACTTTAAAGTAGAAATCTTAATGGATGAGAACATATCTACCTTCAGAAAAGCTGACCAGTCTGCACTTGTAGATATAGAACTTGGAGAGTTGAATTTCTGCAGAAGCAAGGAAAGGAGGAAAAAAATAAGAAACAAGAACAAAAGAGAATGAAAGCTAATAATAATACAATGCTTTCAAACTCATTACAAAGAGAGTACAACTTGCATCAAACAGACAATCAATTTCTATTCAGGCATAGGAATCTATAAAAAAAACAAAATCTTATATGCACACACAAATTTAAGAAATAGATTGTGGTTTAGTTTGATATACTTTTATACATTTGGAATAAGAAAATAGTTCAAAATTTGAACAAACTGTAGAAGGTTTTGTCCCGTTATGAACTCCATCCTCTTACTTATTCTGAAAGACTGTTTCTTTGACAGACACTATAAGAAAACACAATGACAAAACTTCAAAAATAAGTATAAGGAAGAGAAAAAGACAAAGGAAACTGAACCTTGAGAATGCGGGGAATATCTTTTACAGACTTCAGTGTTTCACGTAAAGAGACCGAAATTTCTTCAGCAGACAGGAAGAAAGATATCTTCAGAAGTCATGGGGAAAAAAATCATTTTCATGTGTCTTATGAATATAAAATCAATTTCACAGGAAGTCACAATGTTTCATGGTTATGGGTGTTTCAAGTTTTGAGAGTACTCCAACAAAAAATATAACCCTCTTCTATTCAAATCCTGAATTTGATGTTAAAAAAACTTTTCAGCTGCAGTACTGTAAATGGTCAAAGTTTCCATGTCAAAAAGTTTGGTAAGGATACAGTATCAAGACGCCGATTCAGGTTATCAAGATCCAATATAGGCCTCAGAAACCAGTTCCTGGTGAAAGATGAACTATTAGACCAGAAGGCATCAAGTTCACTTTATCTTTAGTAGAAACCACATCAAACTGTTTCAAGCAAAACTAACCTCAAGAGACATCTACCCATTGGGGTTACACACTGAGAAAAGTAAGCAAATATTAGTCCAATGTTATTTCACAGCTTCTTAAGAACCACCAAAAGCAAATGGCTACAGATTTAGAACTGCCATCATCCTCAAACCTTATTCATCATCCCAAATACAGAGAACCTGCATAATATTTTTGATTAGTCAAAACTTCCATGGTTGACTAAACATAGAGAGTGTGGTGCATCACTAACCCTTCTTTTGCTCTGCCAATTCCCATATGGCTCGGATGCTTGTCTATTTGGAATATTTGTAATGCTTCATGAGCAGCTGAATCAACTTTGAGAAATTTGTCCCTTAATGTGATAGTCAAGGAACACATCATTGCACAAATTTTATCCCCGATGCAAAACAGTGATAGACAAATGAGGAGAGAAATGAATTAAAAAAGATAAGTCATTCCAGAAAACTTATAGCTTAGAAGATACAGAGAAATTTCGCAAATGCAGTCAATTGCAATTGATGCGCTCCCACATTCATTTTGTTCAAGGGTATCTATGATCCGCTCATTTTCTAGCACAGCTAACAGGCCCCCACTTGCACGAACTTGAACATCACTGCTGACGTCCATCATAGAACTTAGCTGCAATTTGGAAAGAGACAAATCTTTAGACTAACATTTGTTGAAACAGAGATGTAACCTCCTAAGAGACCAAACAACAAGAATAAAGTAAGCAATTGAACCATCATTCATTGTTTGCTAGCATATTTTATGCATAGTTAATTTATTTTTATTAAAGGTTTATGCCTAACTAAAGTAAAAGATATTGCATCAGAAAAAACATATCCTAACCACTCACAAACCTGAATAACCTAGATATCAGGCTTGAGTTTCCAACCATGAGATCGAGCAACAAAACTACCGGTGATTTGCAGTTAAAGAAGATGAGAAAATGCTACTGAAGCAAAACTGAAAACAAGGATATCAGCTAAGTGGAAGTAAAGCATGTTTCTTAAAACTGTATATTAATAGTTTTGTACTTGAAAGCAATTATTGGGATAATATTGGAAACGAAGGAGTTTCTATAGCGATAATCTAAGACAAAGGATATTGGTGAAGTCTACTTGTCATGGGCATAGAAATTTGCCAAGATAAACCCCATAGAGTTTTAGGTCCAAATGAAGTCAAGTGTTAGTTTTGATTCCACTGCAGTTCCTGATATTCTTTTTCCAAAATATCAGTTCACAATATAATTTACTATTTCCAGTTAATGATTAGTTAAACTTCTAACTGCATTCAACATCTGTATAAAACACTCCTACAGTATACTATAAAATAAACTTTTATTTTTGAGAAACCATTCAAGATAGTAGAACGACAATGAAGATGTTACTCATAGGATTAAAGTCGTATTGTTGAAGTGGAGAAGTTCCATCGGAGTGTTATGTGATAGAACGACGCCTACCAAAGTGAAAGGTAAGTTCTATAGAGAGCAGCTATAAGACAAGCAATGTTATATGGTAATGAATGATGGGATGCTAAAGTCCAACATATCCACAAGATGAGTGTTGCAGAGATGGATGTACGGTCATACCAGATTACATAAGATTAAAAATGACCACATTCGCTAGAAGTTAAAAGTAGCACGTATTGAGGATAAAATGCAAGAAGATTGCCTGAGATGATTTGGACATGTTCTGCATCGGACCTAGAGATGCACCAGACTATTGGTGTGAAATTATGATTAGTGTGAAGGTGTTCAAAGGGGATAGGGTAGACCTAAAATCACATGGAAGGGAGTTGTCTCGAAAGACCTGCATATGCTTGGCATCAATACAGACTTAGCTAAAGATAGGCGCAATGGAAGAAAAATATCAATACAAGTGCTTGCTACTAGTTGAGGATAGGTTTTAGACTTGGTAGAGAACTTCTAATATTACTATTATTATTATTATTTAACTTATTTATCAGCTTTATTTTATTTAGTATAAAGATGATGTAAATGGGCTTGAATGAAAGTGGGGACTCATATAGCCAACCCCAACTTGTTTAGGACTGAGGCATTGTTGTTGTTATTGTTATATTTTATTGCATTAACAATCAGAAAGAAAATCTCATTGCACATGCATGCAAGTATTGAAGTTGTTAAGTATTAAAGCATCCAAAGTCGGCTTAGATAAAAGTATGTCGTAAGATAAGATTGTTGATGTAACTTGTTCTTCATACTTCACAGAACCTCATCCACAACGCAGTTCAAATCATAATATTTTTGAATTGTATAATTCCCTCACCATGGAGCCAATAACTCCAGATTATATTGTGAAGTTCTACCAGATCAGCAAAAAACTAATTGGAAGTACATCTAGTAATATTAGCTAGCTGAGAACAGATGAGTAAATTGGGAGCATCTGTGTACCAAGGTTCTTACACGAGTGTAAATCAACAATTTAAAAAAATGAAAATATTTAAGATTTGACAGGTGATTCTAGCAATCCCAATAATCAACAAAATTTTCTTACAATCCAATGACCCATGTCATTTTAATCCATGTATCAATGGCAACAAAACAACTGTATTGTTAAAGAAGAGATGATTTCGTCCAGTTTTTATCAGATAGCAAGGACACTAACGCATATGCTGAAGATAAAGATACTTTCTGATAAGTATTCTCCAAGGGAGAATTCTTCGCTTGTCTTCAATGTTATTTTTATTTTTGGCTAAGAACTTCTAACTTAAACAAAAGCTGTAATTGGTAAATGATGACATGGCTCTGGAAATCCATATGACCATCCTGCTTATATACAAGTCATGTTTCCTGTGAGAGCTGCCTTCTCCTTTTATTTCTCTTTCTGAAGCATGTATTCTTTAGAAGGGGAGATTTTGGGCAATGACAACCAAGTCAGTGTTTCCAAACATCACAGACCAAGTCAACAACAATAAAAGAAGGTAGAGATTACTATGTTTACTCATTCTTTCTCGCTCTTAATCATTCTAGTAAATACCGTTCTTCTACAAATGCTCTTGTCAAATATGGATCTGAAAGTACCATTGTGAATGTGTTAGTACGCACCTTTCTTTACAAGTGTAATGAGTTACTATGCACCTTACCACTCCCATTGCATTGGAAGTCTTAATCAAATCTTATCCCCACTTTGCTAAAAGATAGACTGGAGAATCCATATTGCATGATCATTCACTTGAAGAAGCTATAATATTTATATGTATGTGTGTTCTTAAGTACTATTCTCAGTTGTAACTGTTACAGATTGCACAGGAGATATTGTTGTCTCAGGAAGTTCTCAAACCAAGGTGGTACCATAGGACACCATATTTGGCAGAAACAACATTATAGCACCCAGTGTAATCACTCTTTGTGTCAACAAGAAGAAACACGTATTAAGAGAATATAAAGATGCATAGAATTAAGGCAGTAACCCGTTTGACTCACAAAAGCAGTTCTCTCTTTTATGTTCAAACCATCATCCATCCCTGTGACTTGAAGGTACATCAATCTGTGATCCAAAAACAGCCTCCATGGTAAAATTATTATAAAAAAAAACACAGAGAAACAGGTCAATCCATCAAATCACAATGTTAACCTATAAGTTGATGAAGCAAATTAGAAAAGAAAAATATGGTGTTCATTGATTCCCTCTACCATGGTAATAATCTACCTATAGAACTCCATATGCAAGAGAAAACACTTCAATCCTAAGGCTGCACCTCCCCTATGAAAAAAAATAGGAATCCTACATTCTGAAATTATCCACTACCGAATATATTCCTAAGGTACTTTACTGTCCAATGAACAACTGAAAGGAGCACTGAGATAGTTTGTGTCACGTAGTAGTTATGTCAGCCAGTAGAAACATTTATAATGACATCCGAATCTCATTTGATTTACCAGATAGCTACTGCTTTTGATGCACCAAGAACTTCCCATGCCAGAACTATATTCAACTAGGACAAGCAAACAAAAAGACTGGGAAAAACCTTATAAAAAAAAGACTGGGAAATAAAGAAAAATGAAATCCGTGGCAATATTCCTCCACTGTTTCATACCTGTGCCATGCTTGTTCATGGCTGAATAATGAACTTTTCACAAGCTTTACAGAAGGAGCATCACTTGTACCATCTGTGTCACATCAGAGAGTAGATAATGCTTCCACAAATAGAAAGATCAACATGCCAATAATAATCTTAACACATACCACTTCTCTGTAAGGCTGCCAAAAATGATTCCTCACTTTTAGTACTGGTATAGATTGTTCCAGGTTTAGCCTGATATTTCACTGAAAGAGAATCCAACTTTCAGTGAACGTCATATAAAATGCATAAGACAAGAAGTCAAGTTTACTTTAGAGAAGTTTCTCTTGAATATTTTGTGGATGCTTTAATGCTCTTCCTCAAGAATGTAAAACAAGAGTTCATACCCATATCAACCAAGGAAAAATCATGACTTCCATCTTCATAGATTTCCAGCACATGGAGTTGGCGTGCACTGGCATCATAATAGGAAACTCCAATCCTTGAAGAATAGTTTAATTATTAGTCAAATACTAATTCAACATTCGACTGGATTTCCCTTTTACTTTTACTTAAATATCAATGATACAATCCAATTATTTCAGATTGAGTCTTGTTTTTAAAGATATATATATATATATATATATATATATATATATATATATTTAACATATGAAGATGGTATATATCGTTATTATCGTAGTTTCTCTCCCTTAAGTCCATTCATTCAAGAAGGTCCCAAAGCAACTGCCGACATTCTAACAGAATCGTAAACGTCACCAATCACCTGTGTCCGTGCATAACACATGCCATATAAACCTGCATTATAAGCCACAATGGAAAAAGTTATATACGTCTGGTCACTTGTAATTATATATCAATTAGATTGAATGTAAGAAAGAGAACTGGGATTTTTCAAGTAAAGCTTCAAGAAGTGAAATAGCAAGCATCGATATTGTTGCTCCAAAACACAATAAGCATAATTTTTGTGAACATCAAGTAAATCATTACCACCATGCAAAGACTTGAAAATGAAAAGACAGAAGACAATGAGTTTCAACTTTCCAAAGTGAGTGGTAAACAAAAAGTTACATCATATCCATTAAATTATCATCTAAAACAGAGAAACTTCTCAGTTATCAATCGAACAGGCAATGGAAGTAAAACTTATCGTGCTATGTCCTGACCAGAATTTTCAAATGCTTTGGTTTATTTAGCAATGTAAAATTGGACAATCCACGGGGCTAAAATTTCTCAGATATTAAACTAGCATATATCATGAACTTATAATAAAGCCTCATTTGTTGATTCAAACAACATTTAATTATTCAACTCTATCCAGTTCTCGATAAACAGACACAAAAACAATCTTTAGTAATTAGGACTAATCCAATATCTGCTTCCTCAAGCAGATTTATGTATCTACTCGCTGAACAGATGCTCACTTACATAATGCAATCTAGTTTCAGTACACTAATCAGGTAGTTGACGACTAATTTTAATTGGCTTATCCGAGTACCCTATCCACAACACCAAACGGATTACAAATTTGTCTTAAACATGTATTAAACATAGATGCTCAAAGGTCAAATACATTCTGCTTTCTGCAAAGCAATTTTCACAGGTTATGAACTCCAAACAAGCTTGTACTTACCGTGGACTCTTCCTCTTCTGCCAATTCAGGTATAGATGATCTTATCTGCGATTGCTCGTTACCATCTTCTCACATGACAGTTCAAAAACACAAAAACAAATTACATGAAAGAAAACTTTTGCTGTAGAATAATACATCAAAAATGCACATAGGTAACATAATTGTGAGTGTGCAAGTGTAGTAGATGATTATTTGGTACCTCGATCATGTGCAAACGACGCCTCCATTTGTGGCATCTATAGTACGTAGGGTTAAGCAGGAAAGCGAGTAAAATGCAGAAGCGAAATTTCACTTGGAAGAGAGAAGATGAGGGCAAATGGTAGTGAGGGAGAGGAAATGGCGGGAATGCGTAAATCGGAGGGGTTTGCGACTATCATGGACTTGGGATTTGAATTTATAGAGAAAAGGGGAATAAATACAATTGGTACTGACTACTGACTATACCGGGTACACTGGCACTCCATAATTACTCCCTTCAAGCAGGCCGTTTATGGTTCAGTTTGGGTGGTTTTGAACTAAAATCAAAATCAAATTAATTTAGTGGGTTTTTTAATTATCAAAAAACAAATCAAATTATATATAAATGGTATAATACATTCGTGTGTTTAGAGATGGCAATGGGGCGGTGTGGAGCAGATTGAGTTTAACCCGTAAAAAATTTAATTTGTCTCACATAATAATTTTTTTCATTTTCAATAGCTCGCATAGATTCATCTGCATAATTTTTTAATATTTTTTTTCTAGTTAAGTTTGATACTAAACATAAATTCAATTTTTCATTAAGTTATATTAGTTTAATGGATTATGACTTGAAATTTATTTTTTAAAGGTCAATTGGGAAACGTGTAAGAAATTGTATTATTTTTTATTAAACAGTTTTTATTTACTATCTTGAATATTTTAGTAGTTTTAAAGAAATTATCTTAATAAATAATGTTTTATTACTCTTGTAACATGTAAAAAGTTAAAATTAAGTTAGAATCCACATAAAATCACATATACCCGCAACCCGCTTCGTCCGCATTAATTTAAAAAAAACCCGCCTCGCATCCCTCCCACACCCGCACAACCTTAAACTCCGTCCCGCATAGCCTTAAACCCACCCTATCCTACATCCGCCCCGCCCCCATTGTCATCCCTACATGTGTTATTTAATTTCGCTTCAATTGTCATTCATGTCCTTCAATTCTAGGTGTGTACGAGTAGAAACTTAAATTTATATGAAGTTGAACAAGCAAATATATGCATTCTGCTTGACACGATACATGTAGGATGCCACGTAGGACACAAATGTTTAGGTAGGACATCATATAGGATGTATGTGTCTATTTGTTTAATTTTATACAAGTTTAAGTGTCCATTTGTACACACTCAAAGTTGGAGAGAATAGATGTTAGGGAGCTCTGTACCCCTAATGAGTCCACGATTTGGACTCATTTAGGGGTTTGTTTTAATAGATTTAGTGTCCTCAAATGTTTATTTGATGCCAATAATTGATGTAAATTCTTGATTTTCAGGTATTTGGGTTGAGGAACAAAGCATGGACACTAATGAGCAAAAAGGAACAAGGCAGCCGAAAGAACGAAGAACAGAAGGCCTGATGATCACCTAACCCATTGGGCGAGTCGCTGAATGGCCATGATCTCACCTAAAGTTCCAGTGTGCCAAGCCCTAAAGGAAAAAATCAAGTCGGCGATATAAAGGAGCAGTCGGCGAGTTGCCAAACAGTTCCGTGATGCAGTGCTAGATCGCCCAAAGTTACAGAACTTGAAGATGCTGAAGGCCAAAGCAAAAAGGCGATGGAATTGACCAAAGGGCGGATCACCGAATGAATCGGTGATCCTGACTTACTGCGCCGAATGGTCCTTCGCAGCATATTTTTGGCAACTATAAATACATTTTTAAATTCTTAGTTTAGTATCAATTTTCATAGTATCTAATTTTTATCAATCAAGTTTTAGAATTCTGAGTTGGGAGACAATTTTTTTCCTTAGCTTTGAAGAATTGAGGTTTTCCATTTTCGAGAAATTGGAAGTGGGTCTTTGAGATTCTTCAACCTTGACCTTTGTAAAGACGAAATTAATCTTACCCAGTTGATGGAAACATAATTTGGTAATTATTTTTATCTTTTTATGATGTCTAGCTAAAACCCCAATTCTTGGGGTGTGATTATGTGATTATGGGTTGATGTAGCTGTTGGATATTGTTAATTGATAGTTTAAATGTTGTTTAAAAGTGATTTCATTCAGTAATTGTGGTTTAATTTAAAGGGTTGTAGTTGCAAATGTAACTCTACCTTCGTGTTTTTGGATTGCTCGAGAGAGAGGTTTTAAAACCAAGGTTACTGATTTGATGGTCTGTGGGTATTGGGTTGTCAAGGATTCAGCTCGAGAGAGTGAATCTTAAACCCTTTTCGACACATTCAGCTTGAGAGAGTGAATGGACTAAAGCATAGGTTGTTCTTAATTGCTGTTTATTGGTGTTCGAGTGATTCGGGGTAAATTGTTCGAGAGAAAGTTTATCCCCACTAAAGTCTAGCTTATTCACTGATTTACAGTTATTTACTATCAGTTGCAATTACCCATTTGTCTATTTTAGCCTATACTCCAATCACATCCCAAGAACCCGTCTCTTTACTTGTTACTTAGTGTTATTTGTTGTTGTCGTAGCTGTTAATTACAATCAAAACCCCCATATTAGACACTTGTGTCACTCTACATTTGAAATATGCTTTTATTCGTAAATGTTTTTACCTATGATTGACTTGAACATATTTGTACTTGGCTCTTGAATCTTTATCACGTACCACTCCCTGTGAGATTCGACCCCAACTTACTTAGTTGAGTTATATTACTGACTAACGATCGTTGGCACTTAGTATTGACAGAAGTGTCCTGACACGTGAAATCAACCCCCAATGTGGTAAATCAGAAAAAGGATTTATCACCCTAGTCCGAATTTAGTTGAGCTTTCATATGGATATCAGATACCGAATGGAAAATTTTAAAAAAAAACACTTTATGTATTATGGTATGTAAATTCATATCCACAGATTTTGGTTAGGTTTTTATGAAACATAATGATATTCCGCTATTTTATTTTAATTTTCTTACAAGTAAAAAAAAACTTTTCAACTTATAAACTGGTATTAACCTTTTACACTACTCTTCGAATTTATATGCATTTCATTCAATTGAATAAACAAACCTTCCGAATTTTTTTAACATGATTATCAATTTTCAAAGATCAAAATATAATATTAGTAGAAGAAGATAAAAGATGAATGAGAAATATAAAGTGAATAAGAACATATATTTATTGTTGAAGAAGAGGCATCCTTCGCATGAAAAGTAAAAAAAAGGTAATAAAAAGAATTATGGCTCGTCTATTTGTGGGCAAACTACCTTAGAATATTTGTTATGTAATTTAGAGTGTATTAGGCGAAGTTAATTGTAGGAGTTGATAGTTCACCCATTTGTGGGGGAAGAATCCCTTTTGATATGTATTTTTAGGAGAAGTTTCTTTTGATATGTGATACTCTAAAAAATGTCAATTTTGGGGTAGACTATCTTAGTACCTACACTTGAATTAAAAATCGGGCTATCATTTAGCCAGAGAAATTGTAAGATGTCGAAAAGCCAATAATGATAGACCTCAATCTAAGTAATTAATCTTTTTCTAAAAAAATGTGAAATATTTATGGTCTATAAATATTAAGAATAAATAGAAATATTTTATTTGTAAATGTTTTTAATAAGTGTTACTCGTTAATCATGTTGTGTCAAAAAGATTAAGACGTATTTGTGATATTGATAACTTGTGGTATAGAAAGTAAAATTGTAGATCATATATATTTTTGAGTTAATATCTCAAAAGGTTACTCAACTTTGATAATTTATCTCGCAAAGTGACTAAACTTTATTTTGTATCAATAAAATTACTCAACTTAAGAATTTATATCAATAAAATCACATAACTAAATTTATCATTAAAACTAATTGACATGACAATTTCAAATTCCCAACTGACGACTCTGCACTTCCAAAATGGTCTTAGCAGAGTTCTTAAATTGTTCAATTTCTTCATCAGCAAGATGCACATTCGTCACCCTAAAAACTCCACTTCTACCGAGCTTGTAGGCAAGCTGAAGAACACATCACCTCCATCAATGCCATAAAAGCCCTTTTCAAGAACCGAAACAGGGTGAATCCTTCGTTAATCGCCAAGAATCGTACGAGCCAAGTTAGCAACAGTGTATCCAATTGCCCGTGATTAGTGGTGGCATTTGGGTGGATTGAAAATGAGTCAATATAAAATAGGTAATAATTCAACCCGTCCATATTTGATATAGGTAAAAATGGATTGGTAACAAATGAGTTGGGTAAAATACTAGTTTACCCATATTTACCCATATTTTCATGAGTAAATAGTACTCTACTTAAGAATTTAACATGGAGAAAATATTTTAGTCCTTTTTTAGATGAAAAATGTTGAATATGTTTCATTTAGTTTTATTGTATCATAAAGTAAAAAAAAATCCTATAATTTTTCAATATAAAATAAATTTATGTAATAACAAGGGGAAAATATTGTTAATTTCAAAGTAAATGAATTTTTCATTTTAGGACTAAAACATGCTTAATGCACTTTAAGCAATGTCAATACTAATACATGATTTGCTTATTTTACACTATTATTTATTATCCAGTATAAAATTAAACAAATAAAAAATATAATTATAATTAACAAAAGAAATGTACATTTAAAATATATATTTTTGGAGGGCCAAAGACTTCACATTTTCAATTATAGAGAAAAATAATTAGTTCTATAGAAGAACATAAAAAGGAAGAGAAGTTACAATTTTTTTAGTGATATCATGAATTTTGAATGAATAAAAGTTAGAAGCTTAACCCATTTGGCTAATCCATATTTTACCCATGTTTTTATGGATTGAATCTGAGTATCAACTCATATTTTACCCATATAAAAAATCGTTCACCCAACCCATTAAAATATGAATGAGTTGAGCGGGTTACCAAAATATGAGTTCATTCTACTGGCACTACTGTGATGTATAACCTTCCACACTAGTCACTTCATATCACGAACTTCTAGAATATATCATATGATCGATATTGGATATCTGTTAAGCAGATATTTACATCTTACATTCTCTTATTATATAAGAGGGAGTTCGTGCTGAAGCAGGCATGTCTCTGTAGACGTGCATGCTTCAACATGTTTCGAAAAAAAAAAAGTTTAATTTTTTTGTTCTACTTTAATTTAATTAGTATATAATTTTTTTGAAATTATGGAATCCTTTTTAGCTATGACTTTTAAAATTGACGTGCTTGCTTCAGCGTATTTCGGAATTTTTTTTAAAAAAAATTATTTCTTTTGTTCTACTTTAATTTAATTAGTGTATAATTTTTTCGAAATTATGGAGTTCTTTTTAGCTATGACTTTTAGTTTTAAATTCAAGATTTCACGCTGAAGCAGGCACGTCTT